GNTTTGTTGTTATGGGTCCCGAAGGCTCCACTGATGAATATCTTGTTCAGAAAGATGATGATGATGAGTTTGAACTATTCCCTTTGAAAAAACAATAAAAACCAGAAAACTTGCGAGCCAATCTAGGGCTGTGTTTGTAATTTTTATTGAAAAATATATTGAGCTAGCTTAGTATTTATACTAATCTCGCTCTACTGTAATAGAGTCAAGTGGAAGTTCACTTGACCTTATTACTGTGAATCGTGAACGTTGCCTTGATTCGAATCTTGACCGTTGTTAAGATTCGCATCTTCAACTGACGATGAACTTCCTTCATTGAGTTCATTCTTCTTTGGCTTCTTGCCAAATTGAAGAGTAGTCTGTTGGGAACGTTTCAAGGTAGTAGGTTCATTCCTTTTACTGATCTTTGAATCTTTAGAATTCAGATTTGAATCAGGAACTTTCCTCTTTTTAGGATCTGTTCCTAGTTCTGTAATTCTACTTAGTATATTGGAATGAATTCCAATAGTTTCGTTTCTTAACCTGGATTGGTTAAAGGAGTTCACTATTGGGTAGTTGGTTGGAGGGTTCACTGGGGGAGGGGTGGTGTCAAGAACCAAGTCCCTTCCTCCAACCTTGAGTTGATTACGTCTTTTCGTCATTCTACGATGAGCAAGACTTTTACCATGAATAAAGTTGGTAAACAACCCATGTATTTCTTGTACAGATAATTGAGAATTATCATTTCGTGATTTTCGTATCCTTTCCAACTTGTTTTGAAATAGCTTAATGATTTCTAACAAGTTTGGCATTCTGGGGTTGGGTTTGGGTATGGCGAAAACCTAATCACATAAAACGAACCGCTAATATTGGCTATCCAGTTCTTATATATGTATTATTAAATACATTAATATATCTATTCTATAATACACGTGAAAAAACTCCCCGTAGTTATTGAGATAATCAAAAATGGTCAACTCAAAAATGCCTAGTATATCTATTATCTCTGCGACGAGAACGTT